AAAGAAAGTTAATATAACATTTGGTTTTTTTATTTTTCAGAAAAAAATTATTACGTAATTAACTGACTCATACTAAACAACTGATAAATGTTAACAACACTTGAAACCTAAAATTAAATTTCGTTCATTCTGTGTTATGTATTGATAAAATATACATTATATAATAATAATAATAATAATAATAATAATAATAACATTAATAACATTATAATGTTACTTTAATATTATTGAAACATCCTTATAAAATATTAATAATAGCGAATGTTTAAGTAAATACTCTTTATGTATTTAAAGTAAAATATCTTTTAAAAATATATTATACTGAAATTAATAAATAAGATTTATTTCCTTTTTATCATTATTACTTATACATATTTTGTTATTAATATTTGCAAACAATGATTATAAATATTTACTAGCTTTATGGCCATTATTTTTCTTTATCCTGTATGTTCTTATCCTGATTAAAAATATTAATTTATTTTTTAAATTATTTTCAGAAAGTTAGGAGACATTATAGATGTTGACCATTTATTTACATAATAAAAACTAAGTTGAAATAGGCAATTGAAAAAAAAAATTAAATGTATTTTGTATAAGTGATATGAATATTTGATTCATTGTTTTAATTAATTGCAATTAATAGGGACGAAATTTTTTGTAAAGACATATTTTATTTAGATTGCATGCGATATACGATTTATAAGAAGCGTGTTATTTAATTTTATGAATATTACATTAATAACAAAAATGATATTATCATTAGTACTTGTATTTTCTACTATAAATATCTAATGAGGCATGTGAATGAGATAGTGAGAGAGAGAGAGAGAGAGAGAGAGAGAGAGGTGAAGGATATGAAGAAGCAAACGTAAAAATGGTATGCATTAAATAACAATTCAAAGAAATTAATGAGATATTAATATCTTAAGTACTTACCGAATATATATTTACTATATTAGAATTATAAACCATCATGATTTTAATTGCCATAACAGTCAGATTGTGACTAAGATATCTTTTACGATACATTTAAAACGATTAACTTTTTTCTTTACTAGTCTTCATAACTAACCAATTTATGGACAACGGGTTGTTCATTTACATTTTTTGTTTCAGTTTGTTTATTATAATTGGTGCTGACTGCTGATAAAAATGGTCGAATTTTTAGAAAATGTATAATCTAGCAAGAATTATGTGGGTTTTTTAGATTTTTAGTGAATCTATTAGTTTTACAGTTGTCCGTTTTTAAAACTGCTTTTCTTATACCTGTTAGTTTTTATTTGAACAGGAAGTCGGTAAAAACAGGGTGATACAACTGAAATTAGATTAGAATTTGGGTGATTGAAACAATTAAAATTGGAGCTATTTTTTTTAAAATAAGTAATTTTTGTAGTTCATTTGTAGTTATAGAATACGAAGTTTATATGTGCATACGATTTTTGTTACTTAGGTTGGTAAGTGTTTGTTAGTATTAAATTAGAATTTAAATTGTATCATTGCTCATAAAGCGTAGTGTTTTAATTTTTTTTTTTTAAATTAATTTTCTAAAAATATTGAACTTTGTTGAGTAAACGTGGATATTTCATTAGTGAGAAAAAGTTGGGTTTTACGACTTGTGCATAATGTCACGTAAAACATCGAAATAGTTATTTATATATAGGTCCACTACTGACCAATGTGCATTATATAATATAATATATAATATAACCATATTATGATATTAATATTGACAATATAAGTGAATCGACGAAATCTGTTTTTTATTGATTCGGTCCAATTATACAGAGTACAAGTTCATTACCGTATTATGTAACAGATAGCGTAAAATCAAGCTTACCCAGGTGTTGAGATGGTTTACCGTCTCCCCTGAGACGTTTTAAAAACTGTTTTTTCGGTAGTTACTATTTTAATATTTTTATGTTGAAGTCCTCACTTGATACATTTTTTTTCATATACGTGCTTGTTCGGTGTAAAAATTCGTATGGCCGTTCGAGATGCACGCAATAACGTGCAGGATTTGTATCGTAATACGTAAATGTTTTATACATTAAACAGGTTTTTACGCGGTGTAGTGCCTTTGCATTTATTTTCCATGTAACGACCACGACGTTGCGGAAAACGGTCTAATTTACATACACGATACATTTATTTTGGATATACTGGATATGAACGTATACATAAACGTGTGTATGTGTGTACGCATACATGCATATACCTACACACGTTTACGCACAAAAACTAATTTCATGCTTAAAACTGTAATTTTTTTTTAAAAATTTTTTATAGCTATTTGGTGTATTCGGGTCCTTTTATTTCATGATTTACCGGTTTTTTTTTCATTCTTATTTTAGAACATCTTCTACACGTTATAAGTTAGGAATGTCTTTGGGTTTTTACTGTAAAAAATAAGTACATTTTTTTTGTGTTATTATTTATTTGACCTCAAAGCCAACGAATCAAAGATAAATCAAAGAATTTGAAAAACGATTCCGTACGAGACTTAGCGTATAATAGTCAATTGTAAAAAAGTAAAGAGTAAAATTGTATTCCTTTATAGTTAATAAAAGATTTAAAAAATTCAAAATTAGAATTGAGTTATTGATAATAAATATACCGTGGATTTATATGTATTAAAAACCAATAGGTGCTGAAGAATATTAAATATGCACAAATATGTCCACGGTAATGTTAAAATATGCATTCAAAATTTAGCAAAAAAAAATAACATTAATTTTTTGAACATTTAATTAAAATAAATAAATTAAAACTGACGGAATCCTAATGTAAATAATTTTATTTCTTTTTTTTTTTTATTAAGGAATTAATTAATATTAAAAATGTATCCTAAAAGAAATTTTCTTACCTATATGTGAAATGCATTGTATGACAATTATTTAAGTTATATTTTCAAGTACCTCTAATCAGTCAATAAGTTTTTCTATCTACTTCTACGTCTATAGAAATAATTTAAAATTGTTAATATTCAAGTAAGTGTTGTAGCCTTTGTTTCTTGATAATACTTTTCTAAATTGTTCTTAAACAGATTTACCTCTTATGTTACAATACCTAGAAAATATTTCAAAAAGTCTATAAAAAAGAAAAAAATATGGAAATAGGCATTAAAAGATGAAGTATACAATTAAAATCGTCAAATAAGCCCTTATAATAGAGGAAAAAAGAAATGGGTGAATATCAAAACATGAAAAAATATGCACTAAAAAATTGTAATTGTTGAAATCGTTCTCGTGAAACGAATGTTGTGCAAACGCAGCATACCATACGACCAGTGGCGTGGCGAACTCAACAATTTTTAAAGGCAAGTACATTTTGTCGACACCCACCCACAAAGTCGTATCTGGGGGGGGGGGTACAGATACCCTGGACCTCCGAAATTTCTTCAATATCTTACGAATGTTTAAAATACTTATTTATTTTTAATACCAACATAAATATTTTCAGTCAAAAATGACTTAAGCTCCAATTAATCATTGACTGCTTTAAATTTTATATCATAATATCATATTAAAATATGATATTAATTTTAATAAAAGAAGATTAAATCTTTTTCCATCTTATTTTTAACCAAATATCAAAAGTTAAAATCTTAATTCAATAAAGTTACAATATACATGTTTTGGACCCCTCCCGAAAAATTTTTTTAGATACGGCCTTGCCCATCCACCCATCAAAAAACTGAGAGGCGCCTGCCTCTCGATTACCTATATCGCCACGCCACTGCATACGACCAACCAGAATAAATATGCAAATTCATATCAGTCCGCGCTCCAATAACAAATAATGCGAGGACTAAGGGCCTTGTTAGGCTACCACTACTACTAGGTCTGGTAAACTGTTGATCCGGCACTGGTCGTAAGGAATACGATTTTGTCCAAACCTGCGAAGATCGTTGCAATACGATAATCGTTGTAATTGTTTCGCGTTGCACTTCAATGAACGCGTAGCAGCGGTTGTTGATACACGGCGTGTGCGCCGTCGGTGCTTATTACGACCGGACCGGACCACCCCCGATCAATGTACGATGTATATATTTGATCGATCCAATTGATCTGAATGAAGTTAGCCCCCCCCAAACCTATTTTTTGATTTGTGACTTTTCACTTGATTTGCAAATTCTAAAAATGAATTTGCAATTATTTGCAATTAATTTGCTAAATATTGGCGATGGTCTGAAGTGAATCGTTCAAAGTGGGGGAGCTAACTTCATGACCACCACATTTTGCAGTGACGTGCAAAAATCCGTTCTCCGCGAGGGACGAAATCGGTATTCTTCCAACGCCCGGCGCTGTCCCTTCTCCCCCGCGATCTACGTTTGATCAATGGACTCGTACAGGATATTCGATCGGCCTTAGATGAACACTACAGCTATGTGGACGTTTTATGAAGTTGGTTTGGTAGGAAGTTTCCTACTAGTTCCTACTTGAAACACTTGTAAAATAGTGACATACTAACGAATACCATTAAACCCGTTCGAAGAAAGAGTCAATGGGCAGATAATCGTTGAGTCAACATAAAAATAAATTTTTATCATTTTTAAATTTCAAATTATGTTCTTATACCCATGTTTATCAAATTCACTGTTTGATATAAATAATAAATGTTACAAATGGACAAATTTTTAAAAGGTTATTACAAAACCATAAATTCATACGTAATTTTAAATCATAAATATTTTATACTGTTTTAAATTTTATACCAACAATTTTCAAATTTTTTTTTTTTATTTATTTCATAATAAATATTATGAACATTAATTTTAATAAATATACGAAATTTAGTTAATTATTGTTGTTTTCATTGACTATAGTATAATCGGCTGTATGTCGTCTGCCTCCATTAGTGTACATGTCTACGCACATACATTGATATAATGTATATATGTATTTATTTAATATGTACAAGGTACATATACACATTAAGAAAAAAACATAAACAGTATATTTTATTATATTGTATTTATTATTATAGTTTTTATTATTATACGAAAATACATACATATGTACACGTAACGAAATAATAGTTCGGGGAATAGAGCGGATACGCCAATCTTGGTTAGGATAATCGAGGTTCTACTTTATTGATAGTATACATACATGTAAATATAATATCATACTTACATTGTTATTTTATAATATCAGTAAACACTATGATTTATATTTATGCGAATTTTTTTTTACCGTCTAAGTGTTATCGGCGTTCCATACGATACCTAAACATTCAGTAGACTTGTCAAAAATGAGCGAGAAAAGTATAAAATCTATGGTACAATGATGAGTATTCCATGAAATTCCATGAACGTCCAGTGTGGGCAGTGTGTGAGATCGATATTATTCAAGTACATCGTGATAAATCAATTTCCATAATGATTCGTATTGCAAATACGTTGCTTATCGTCCGGGTTTGTATAAGTTGATGCAACGATTAAATTAACGTAATCATAACAACTGTTAAATGCAATTTCACGGATGCGGTAGATTCCGAGTTCAGTCAATGCAGTACTTGATGACTGCTCACCGTACAATAATGTCATCGGCAGTCGGACAAGGTTTTGTTGAATATATATATATATATATATATGTATATATGAAAATCGAAATACTAAAGTATTTATTATACTATAACCCTAGCGTAGCTGTAACGTTCTACAGAAATCCTAGGAATCATATGAATTAACTATTATTAGAAACGACATAAAGATTGTAATTCACAGGCGAACTGAACAAGGGATTATGTGGAATGCCCACGTATTTCATGGAACGCCGCCTGTATTCAGCATTTCGCTCGAAACATAAAAATATATATTTTAGTAAAATCATGAATAGTGTGTGTTGCGTAACAACTCGTTCGGCCTACCGAATTATTATGCTCTTTCGATCATCATAGGCGAAATGGGTGTTGAAAGAAAAATATGAAAACCACATCGGTTATTCGGTATCTCGTACGCGACCGCGGTGGCTTACAGAGCGATCGAATCGTTCGCGTCTTGAACGCTGGTGTCCGCGTCGTTGTCGTCGTTGTCGGCTCCGGAGGTCGCCGATCGGAAAGGCAAGGGCGGGCTGATTATTGGCGCGACGGCCATCGAGCCGCAACAGTCGCCGTCGTCCACCACGATGGACGGCGGAGCTCGGAACGCGTCCACGGCCGGCACGGCTGTCGGGTACCCGCCTTGCGCGGTGGTCCGCACCTGGACGGTGTCGTCGTACGCGGCCAGCACGGCTGCTCGTCTGTGCTGCCTCCGGATCGTGCCCGTGGCCCCTGAGCACGTGCTGTATGGCATCGGATTTATGCCCAAAGGGCTGGGGCTCATAATGCCTATGGCTTCGGCCGCCGTGGTCGCGTAATACGCGCCCAAGCAATCGATGCCGCACTGCACCGGTATCTGTATGGATACGTAACCGGTAGCCGGCGGACACTCGGCCCACACGATTTGCTCGAAGTCAATTTCCCAGCCTGCGCATTTCGCGTCGCTTACCACGTCAGGGTTGCTCCGCGACACCACCCCAGTCTCGTACGCTGGTCCGGCGGTGCCCTTAGCCGTGGTGGTTACCGCTGCCCCTGCCGACGTCGTGACCGAGGCGGCGGTAGTCGTTCTCGCCACGCTCGCCGTCGGCAGTCGCTCGTCCGCAAGCGGTTCCTTGTCGGCCGTCGTGCTCACGGCGCGGTAACCGTCGGCTGCGGGCGCCACTGGCCGCCGCTTTCCAGTGGTCGCCGCGGAATCGCCGGTGCGGCCACCATCACGTATCACCCGCTTGCACCGGACGGCCACCAGTGCGGCGACAGCGGTGGCCGCGGACAGGGCAACCAAACCGGCAGCCAGATACGCAACGTACACCAGCGAGTGGCCGTCGTTACCACCGGCCGCGGCTGACGACGACTGCGATGGCGCGGAACGATCGTCCACAGCGCCAGCGGCCAGTGACGGTCGGCTAGGCCGCATGGTGACGGTGAAGTTGGCCTCGGCCCGGCCGGCCCGGTTCTCTGCCACGCACGAATACGTGCCCGCGTCGCTCAGACTGGCGTTGTACACGTACAGCTCAGCCGTCGTGTTGCCGTCCACGGTGATCAGCTCGGACGCGTTGTGCCGGTACACCGGCGCACCGCCGAACAGCCACTCGACCGTGGCCACCGGCGTGGCGGCCACCAGGCACCGGAACGACACGTTTGCGCCCTCGGCTACGTCCTGCACGTGCCTTGCGTCCGGGTACACGACCGGTGCACACGCCAGCTCGGCGGCCGGCACCCGGCGCACCAGGACGCCGACGTACGTGGCCGGCCCCGAGCACACCGGTTCTTCAGCCACGGGCACGCGGGACGTGGACAACCATCGGTGCATGTCGGCCGCGCGGCAGTCGCACTGCCAGTCGTTGCGGTGCAGGTCGACTTGGTGCAGCCTAGTGGGCAACGTGTGCAGTCCCGGCACATGAGTCAGTCGGTTGTCGTCCAGCTTCAGCCAGTCCAGCCCAGCGAGGTCGTCGAATGCGCCGGCCGCCACGGCGGTCAGGCCGCAGCCGCTCAGGTCGAGCGCGGTTAGTTGGCCGAGGTGCCGGAACGCGCGCGCCGGCACCTCAGCGATTGGGTTGCCGCTCAGGCTGAGCTTCATCAGCGACGGACACTCGACGAACGCGGCGGTCGGCACGTGCCGTAGACAGTTGCCGGATAGGTCCAGATCCACAAGGTTGGTGAGGCCGTAGAATGCGCGGTCGTGCACGTAATACACGTTGCACCTCGCCGCGTGGATGCGCTGCAGGTTGGATAGGCCGGCAGCGGCGAACATGTCCCGCGGCAGCCCGGCCGCCGAAAGGTCGTTGTCCGATATGTCCAGCACCTGCGTGGCCGGGTCGATGCCCAGCGCCGCCGTCACGCCTGTCACCTTTTTGCCCACGCACTCCACCGTCTGCTTACCGTTCTTCCACTTGCACGCACACCCGGCCGGGCAGCCCGTCGACGACGACAACGACGATGACAACGGCGCCGCCGCCACCGAGGTCCGTAGTGTCACCGTCGTCGTCATTATTGTCATCGTCGTCATCATCATAATCATCATCATCATCGCCCTCGTCGTCCATAGAACCATTACCCCGAACGCTCAATTACACTCATTTTGCTCGTTCGACCATCATCGTTGTCATCGTAGTCAATGTCATCACCGTCATCATCATCATCATTTTGTCGTCGTCATCGTCGTCGTAGTCATCAGTATCGAAGTCGTTGTCATCGCCCTGTAACAAACAACCATTCAATTATTGCATACATTTAGAAATATTACGTCATCTCCGTGTACGGTTGAGATATTAACGTGGAATATGCGTTACATTTATGTGGTGTTGAAAAATATTTTCGTGGCTATGTTGTGGAATCATAATGCCAAGATTACGTTTATGATGGAGTTATAATTCGGTCAAAAAATTATGCTACGCATCTTATTTATTGTTAGTATAAGGATTGCATTTTCATTATAGTATAGAAATAGTAATTAAAAAATTTGGTTACAGATACGGTATAAGATTATATATTATTTTTGGTAAATTTACCTAAATATTATTAAATTTGTAGGAAAATAAATAATAAAAATAACGGTTGTTACAATTTTTAACATATTACCTACATCAAATACAACTTCTTTTTTTTTTGAGTCCAGGGCGTAGCTTCTCTCTTTCGTTGAATATACTGGGTATCCTGCCATAATATTTCGATGAAAGTATCTCGGTAGATAATATTTTTTTTATTTTAGTACTGATTAGAAGAAAAGTCATATTGAATATTTGTATTTTAATCCCTTAAGTTGGAAAATAATTTTTTTGAAATTGTCATTTCTATAAAATTACAAAATAACAATTCTTTAGATCACGTTGTTTAGGAAAATTCAAAGTATTAATTAAATAAATAAATAAAATCACTCTTAAATAACATCACAGCCGTAATTTGTTATTTATAATGTAAATTTAGTGCAATCGTAAAAATAGATAAATTTAGAACATAAAAGTTGATATAATTTATACTAATTTATTAATTAGTCAATAAAAAATTGGAGTACCCTTAATTTTTCTGATCAAATTACATTAGTTATAATTATGAAATCGATAATTTCATTTTCGATTGTGATAGATTGAAATATTCAGAACGAATTGTATTAAGTATTAGCTATTTTGTAATTAAATATTGTTGTTTTTGAGTATTTTAATTATTTCGGCTCGTGTGATTATAGTATGATAATATGTTAACAGTATAATTTGCTATAGCTTATATTAAATTAATTATATTTATTTAATATTTTTTCTATGATTATATTTCTTAAAAATATAATTCATAATCATAACCGAAGAATATATATATTTTAATTTTAGTTAATTTAATAAAATTTTAGGTTATATAATTGTACTGAGAAAAAGTTTTCACAAATAAATATTCCTGGTACACTGTTTTTTTTTTTTAAAGAAATCTTCTACTTTAATTGTTCCAAGCCGAGTACTGCGCGTACTTGTAATGATAAAAAACAAAACACTTGCAACTTATAATATAACATACACGTATTTCTAAATTAGAATAAGACCAGAAGTTAAAATGTAGAATTGAAATAAATATATAATTTTAAAACTCAGATATTATTATGGGTTTTATAATAATGCATTTTAAATTTAAATATTTATTTAAAAACTGTACAATGTAACATTATCAAGCATTACAAAATACTTTTACAACTTAAAAATTGATACATTTGGTTTTAAAATGTCTTAAATGAGTGCAAAACTGCTTTAATTTAAGTTGTTGCTTTATTGCTCTCATAGATTTTTTTTTTCGTTTGAACGCCTTAGAAATCGTGGAATCGTGGAGTGGGCTACTTGTCGTTAGCAAACAGAACGGCGTTCCATTCATTTGCACTTGCGATAAAATATTTAAAATTTTTTAATGGAGATATTTTGATGGAGATATTTTGTCGAAGATATTTTTACCGGAGATATTTTGACGGGTTAGGATATGAGTTCCTGCTAGGAACTGTAATATTTTTTCAAAAATTATCTACAGTTTAAAAAAGATAAATGCCGCCTCAGGCGTGAGCCTATATTGCCTACCCCTTGAGCCAGGTTTGCATTTAATATTGTTACAGTTCGTGCACATGTTAATTGGCGATACGTACAGCCGGTAGGGAACATCGTCAGACATTAACCGTACGTTGTCTACACAACAATCGACAGTATGCGTTTTTCATTTGTAATCTTTTATTTACTTATTTTTCCCCGATAACATACAATATTTTAAAAACACGGGCTCGGGAGAAGGGATGCGGTCCCTAGGACCCTACCTTCGGAACCGCCCGCGTACCGAGTTCGTTTTGCACTCCTCGAAAGCAGTAGTGATGCCTCAACAGATTCAAGTGGTGGCCAGTCCCGTGGTTAGGTGTGCGATTATTGTTGTAAGCATTCGTATACACTGACGTGCGGTCCCTGTGGCGGCAACAGTTCATGCGTCCAACACGATTACGCGCGTCGTGGCCGTTAATCTTAATAAACGTACGTACCAAATGGTCTTTGTGAAACTGATCGGGCACCGCACACGTATCGCGCGCGTACTACCGGCCGAATTAAATCGCACGTTCGAGCGCACGACGTTACCAAATCGCCCGTCGTAAGTCTTCCACGACCACTGCACGTGTACGGTACCCCGGTACTAGCCTCTGACCCTTGTTCCTCGCTTTTCATTTTTTTTTCTTTTTTTCTTTTTTCTCTTTTTTCATCAGCTCGAATAGGTCTTTCCGTCACCCAGATAACTCGTCATCTCCTCGTTTGCTCCTAAGCACGCGTGCGCGTTCGAAGCCTCGATGTACTTTCGATATCACTAATATCGTTATCACTTACCACTCGCTCGATGTCGTTATGTTTTTGTATCGAAAATAACCGTAAAGCGCACTGTATCATTGTTACTGACAAATTTTAATTTTATTCTATTATTTTATTAATTAATTGAATGTATATATTAAATAATTTAATTGTATACGTATGCTCTACAGAATGTTCTAATTTATCCGAATTGTATGCATTTTTATATTTGATTATTTAACAGAAATATAATATGCTCAACATTTTCCACATATATCTCCGCACATAAAACTTGAAATCTTATGCTCTACAGTCCTACGGTAACTGGAATTTATTACTATGAGTTATGTACGAGAAGGTTTGTTTTTATACATGTACAGGTCGACTCTTATATACTCGTTGAGAAATAGTTTTTTACATGAAAAAAAAAATATAAATATATTTTACGTGATTTCCTGTACTAATTTAAATATTTTTCCTTTCTGCAGTATATTTTACCACTATAATTTTACGATTTTGACAACTGTAAATGATTATGTACCTATGAATTGTTGTAAATTATTTCGACCTCGTTAGAAAGTTTTTTTTTAAAGGTAATGGCATTTAATATATTTATTTTTTTTAATTTTAAATAATCTTAATGGTACGTTATACTTTTTTTACGTTTAAAAACTCATAATAAGTATAATAAACATTGTTTGCTAGGTTAAAAAAGTGTTGAGTTGATTTACGTTTGAGGGTAAAATAAATTATGAAAATAATGATGTCCATGTTTTGAACAATTTGTTTTTCGGAACCATTATTGGGTGTGAATAATGATTAGGTAATATGATAAGTCTAACTTTCAAGCCATAAAAACGTATTGTTGGGAGATAAAAAAAAAAAAAAAGATTGAACCAAAAACTATACCATTCGACGAATACCTGTTAAAATCAATCTAAATCACTAGACGTTCATTGAAATATGTGAAGGAGAAGGTGGTGATAGAAGTTTAAACGGGATAAAGGGATAGGTTTTAAAAAACATTATATATTAATCGTCTTAACAGTGACATGAAAGAGTAGTTATTACTCGTATATTAGTAAAATTATTACAGTACATGTTTCGATTGACGCATATACTATGTGGAAATATGTACACTAAGTTCTAGAAAGCAAATTTTAACTATAAATACTCGTAAACAATTAACAACTGTGTACGTACATCTGGTTTTAAATAAAAATTACTTTCATCGGGAAATTGGTGAAGATGGTAATTAATCTAAGTTGTTGTTAAATTAAATCTACTCTAGTGAAGTAAATTAGCTGAGGACGTATGACAAATTGACGACTGTGTGTGTCACGTATCACATATGTCGGTATCGACGATAGTTTTGACGCGGATACGAATGATGATTGACTAGATTTGTCGTGCAAAACAAATGCAGATGTGGTGTAAATATACCTGCCCATCCGAGTGTTGTATAATAACAGTAATTTTAGCTTCGTGTTATACAATGAGACGACAAATGGTGTTAAAAGTTGCGTTTTAACAGAAATTCATGGATAATTCAACCGTGAGGGAGTGGCGAGTGATTTTAATCACTTTTTTCCTCCAAAAAAGTGGTTTTAATGTAGTATGTACGAGTGTGTTTGTATGAGAGGTGAGCGGGGGTTTTTTTTAAAAGTAAAATGTGAGTAAAAAAAAAAAACCAATCACGGGGAAAGCGAAAAGAATAAATATATATACGTGTATACAAATTGGTAGAGAGAAATAGGGGGTGAGGAAGAGGACGAATGAGAGAGGGTCAGGGAGAAGGAATGGGTTTCTTTCTGAGGTCCGACGATAAATCAACCGACACACGACGGGCAGGTTTTCTGTAACAATTACTTTGGACACGTGCGAAAATAACGGTAACGGGCTAACGAAACGTGGCGTCTGGTAACGAAAAGAGTTGATTGGGTGAATGTAATGGGTGAGTGGCGTGCGTGGGTGTGTGTTCGAGAGGGTGGGAGCGGCGGGGTGTGTCCGGCAGGGTTTATATAGACCGCCGAACACGTACTATTTAAAAACGTTGGGCGGAAGTCATAGATGTCGTCCATCGGAAACACACGCTTTTATGGTGCTTCCGGTCGTCGGTAAAAGTTAAAATTGAAAATAATATCATGTCCTCCGCAGTGGTGCTACGTACAAGTTGATGATTTTATTGTGATTTATCATGGTGCGATTCATTCGCGTACAGTGTTATCGTGCAGTGCACACACATTAACGATTCTGTTAGAAAATTCGACTCAAAAAACTATAGACCATATAATGAATTTGAGATTAATTCGAATTAAACACTTTTACGGAACATTCAGTACACGTACATGATTTAAAAGGTCCTTCTCAGGACCAATAAGTAACACAAACCAGTAACGACCAAT